TACCGCCGTAGTTACATGCCAACCTCCACCCACCCACAGGGGGGCGGGGATCATCTCTACCCCAGGACCTGTAGACCCATATTCTTTGCGGGGGCGTTGGGGGGGGACAGGGAGGGCTGGATCAGATATATATATATATATCTGGTTGGTGGTTTGAAACATTTTTTATTTTCCCCAATAGTTGGGATGATTATCCAATCTGACTAATATTTTTCAGGGGGGTTGAAACCACCAATTAGATATATATATATACATACATACATACATACATACATACATACACTAATATACACTATATGACTGCAAGTCTTTGAATCACGGGACTCGACCCGTTCGGCTTCCAGGGCTTAGGATCAAGCCGCGAGGTTTTGGACGGCATGGCCACGAGCTGATGAGGGTCCCTTTTTTAGCCCAAACATATTTTGGATTCGTGGAAATCTAAATGGATCCTGCTCTAACTCATATAAGATCCCAATGGTTCTTAATGGATCGAAATGCACATTCGCCGTGGATCTGAATGTTTCGGAATGGTTCCGAACTGGACTCTTTAGATGTTTCGAGGACCATTTTCGCATACCCTACCACCATCTTTGCAGGTTCTAGATCACGGCGGCTCCACCCTGGAGATTTCAGAAAATGCCTTCATCTATCAGAATCGGTCATCCTCATTTTACACGGAACACCGAACTTCATTTTATTCATTTTAGGTTTTAAATCAAACGGATTGTTTCCGGTAGTTTTTCCCTAAAAGTCAACCCAGTTACTCTCATGGAATTTTTGATCAACGCCTGTCAGCTCCAGCACGACAGACCTGGGACCTGCGAAACGCCTGGGTCGCCGGGAATTTTGGAGGAGTTTTTTGCAACGCTGCGGCACATGGTGTTGAGATGTTTTTAGAATGGCTGAGAATGACCACTTAGGCAATGATTTTTGCATGAAACAAAATGGTTGTTTTCCATGTTTTCAACTCTCGGGTATATGTATGTATATATATATATGTATATTTACTCAACTTGGGCTGGTTCAACGTGTCTAACTCCAAAAACACCAGCACAAACATCTGCCGGTCCATGCCGGCCCCGCCTGTGCCGAGCCTTGTGACTCCCGTTGAGCGAATGCCCCAAGTGTAGAGTCGAGCGTCGAGCTGTGATAAGATGGCACTGCTTGAGACAGCGACACTATGCGGCTGGTCGAATGGAGAAATGGCGGAGAGACTGGGTAAAGTTGTCTGCATTTCAACAGACAAATATATCCGACGTATATGTTACACATTGTTACACAGTTATGAATTCGTATGTCTTATGAATTCTGACCGTCTTGGTGTCCATGCCTCCATTCGTCTGTTCATCCCCGAGAAAATGGGATCATCGGATCATCCCCAAATCGGCTGTGAGGAAAGGCATGTCACGTTCCTATGTTGCAGCGTTCACCCTGGTGCTGAAAAATCCCACGCTGGTCAATTCCCGAATTGTATCCAATTGTTAATCATGTTTGCAGCTTACAATCCCCTCAGCTGGTGAAATCCAACTTTTTTCTTTGCTAAGAATGAATCTGACCAATCCCCATATCTGCCATATCTTGAAAAACATCTCTGTTGCTTCACTCTACGAAGAACAGACGACTGTTCGCCGCAGGACATTTGCAGCCGGGCTTACATCCCATGTCGGGTCCTATGGATCCTGTGACTGTGCCTGGCAAGGATGTCTATGGCAGGAAACCTGATCCAACGAGGACAGGTCCAACAGTCTGACAGGATCCCAGTCGGGTCCTTGATGGTCGGCATATCTTTTTCTTGTTCGAAACTCAATGGTAACGCACCTCATATTTTGGTACGGCACATGCTATATGCTGGGCTTGGCAACAGTTGATGCTGAAGTTGAGTACTCCAATTTCCACCCAGACCCATGTATTGCTTGTTGCAGGAAAGTGTCAGGTCCTTGTTCCCCATGTATTGCTTCTTGAAAAGTCACATGCCTAATCCCATCCGCTTAAAATCAAGGACCCCATTAAGAGTCCCCAAAACCAGGGATTTCATCCCCATCCACCATGGTTTCCACCATGGTTTATGGTTCGAGGGCCAACATGTTTCTGGTCCCTGCAGGAACCAATCCACCATGGGTGGCGATGGGCTTTGCGCTCCTGCCAGGCCCTGCGATGCTTCTGCTGACCATCGCAGAAAACAAGTTGCACCATGTTGTACCATGATCAGTAAGAGTCCCTGTCGTTGCACCATGCCATGTTTCGCCGCGTCTTGTGGGCTCCAGGCGTTTTTGATTTTTCATCGGATATTTTCGTGCAGGTCTATAATTTACTCGTCCCGGGGCTGGGATCTTTTTGGCATTTATGTCAGCTGAAGGGCGTGCGAATGTCGCCGCTGGGATGAACGGCGGACCTGGTGATTTCTCAAGAAGTCGTATTTTTTTTGGGGGGACATGGGGGAGCCCAAAATCATCCAAACATATCCTAGACATGGTGGTATTCACTACGGAAACAGATGGTTCAGAGGGGCAACTCCATTTTAAGAAACCCACACTTGAGGATATGACACAGAGCATCAAGGAGCTATGAGGATGATCCTTTTTTGGTTCAGAGGGCATGCCACTAAAAACACGAGTTCCAGGAATTTCTGTACCTTCGATATACATCCCAGTCAGTGAGTGGCTAACAAGCATCTTAAATAGCCAATACAATGCCAATGTACGCCAATATATATATATATATATAGATAGATATGTATATAGTATATATATATAGATAGATATGTATATAGTATATATATATAGATAGATAGATATGTATATAGTATATATAGATATAGAGTATATATATATATAGTATATATAGTATATATATACTATATAGTATATATAGTATATATAGTATATATAGTATATATAGTATATATAGTATATATAATATATATAGTATATATAGTATATATATAGTATATATATAGTATATATATATAGTATATATATATATAGTATATATATATAGTATATATATAGTATATATATATAGCTTTTTTTCCACGCGGCGCTCAGAAGTTAATCACTGCGACCCTACAGATAATGAATTCACAAATCTATACATTACCCAGCGTAATCCTGTCCCAAATGGCAAGAAAACTTCTGCACAAAGAGATGGGCACATTTGGACAAGAAATCATCAGGACATGCGCTGTGCTCCACATCAAGCGGTGTCTGAATCGCTGAGTAAAAGGCAGATGCAAGGCCTTTACAAAAGGCAGGGGGGTACTCTTTCAGTGAAGTAGTAGCCCATCCGCCATCGGATGTCTTTCCAATGGCGGCCCTGCGTGGTAATTCTCTAGTCACCCTATGCTGATGCAAGATGCCTTGAAGTTCCGGCAAATTGAGAGTCAGCAGCAAAGTTGGTTTCGGCGTGGCAGCTCCCAGAACTCCTTGGCACAAAGTAAGAAGCTCAAAGCCAGGCAAAGAAAGGATCACTTGCATAATGGGAAGCTTCCAGACTGAGGCAGCTTGCTCGGAGGATGGCTGTGCCGGATGCTCCATGACTGCGACTCCGTCATACAACGCCAGGTACATAATACAGATCAGAGTGAATGTCAGAAGATCATTCCCCACACAGACCTGTAGTAGTTCCTTGAGTGCAAGGCTTGCATGACCCCACAAGTCAGTGGCATCTCGTACTGGACGTGGCCCCTTGATGCCTTGTAGGAGTTGCACAGCCCGGGCCACACTCCACGTCTCGCATGGCGGTCCACCAAGAAAACCAACCACAAATCTTTGGGTAATGCCATGAAGCCAGTATGCTTGCGCTTCCGCTGCCGATGCATCGCCAAGATGAACGTCGTACAAGATGTCCATGGAGGCCGTGTGAATCACCACATCATCAGGCAGATGAACGCAAAGCTGGTCAAGATAATACTGGAAGTCCCCTGGTCTGCGCCGGCCAGCAAACGCATGCAAGATGACTCGATGCCGCCCCCAGATGCGAGGAATCTTCTCAAAAGCAGCACACTCCAAAACATCCAAAGAGGACGTCAGAGCATCGAGGGATGCAAAACGTGTGTTCACATGCCGCTGTGCTACATTAAGGAAATCCCAAGAAGAAACCCTGGTCAGCTTCTTAACAACATCAACAACTTCATGCTTACTCCGAACCCCAAACTCATCAAAAGCGTCCTCAAGATGCTCAAGCAACGCAGTGAGAGTGCAAAGGCAGGTGCTCCAGGAGATGGCTCTCGACTGAATATGGTCCCTGAGCTCCGCTTCAAGGGAACATGCACCTGGGGTGTCATAGAGGATCAAGGAGAGATCAGCAAAAAGCTGCCAGTTCGTAGAATCAAAGTCACGTTCACGACCCGGAGGAAGCGATGGACCTAGAGCTTGCAGAGGTGGCAACAAACGATCATGTGCCTGTTCAAGATCTCGGTTTGCACAAGAGCCAATGCCTGGGACTGGAGTAGAACCACAGAAACGGCCCAACCATTGCGTCCTACAAGCCTCTACACATCGCAGATGTTGTTGCAACTTGGCAAAAGTGAAATATTCTCGCAGGCAAATGGCACATTGTGTACCCTGAAAAAGGTGCCGTACAGGGTGAACATAGCCGTGGACTTTGTGCATATGCGAGCCCTCTCCTGCTTTGTTTTTGCAAACTTTGCCACATTTCATGCACCCAAAGGCTGTCTCACCGAGGTCGTCTTGGTCGAAAGGTTGCGGAACAGCCACTCCTCCACGCTCCAAAACCTCCAAAGCATGAAGATGAAAGCCAAGAACTCGATGGTGTAGTCCTCGCTGAAGGATGGCATGTTGAGATGCTCTGCGGATGATCCGTTTCCAGTATTGGCGATGCCAACCAATAAGATCTAACCATTGCGCAAAGTGAGAACAGGGGTCTTGAAGATGTGACGCATTTTGCAATTGCCGAAACACCCATTGTAAGTCATCTTGCAGCAATGCAACCCAATCTGTGTCCAGGTTGAACAGACCCCAGCAAGTAGCTGAGCCAGCAGCAACCAAAGAACTCAGGTACCGTAGACGCGCCAGGCGCAAGAGCTCTGAGGGTGAAGGGAGACCCGTTTTCACCAGAACTTCCTCGTCACTGATGTGCTCCGCAGGTCGAATACGCAAGAGTCTTTTGTACAGTCGGATAAGCGAAGCATGCACATAGCTCTTAATGCGTTGACCATGAAGTACCCAGGACTCCACACCGTACAGAAATTTACTCAGAACCAAACTGCGAAAGATTTCAACCCACTTGGCCAAAGAGAGGTTTGGATTCTGAAGGAGAAGTTTGCGAAACTTGGTAAATGTTTGATGTGCCACCGCAATCTTTCTGCGCACTTCAACACGTAAATCCCCACTGTGGTGCAACTCTCCTCCCAAGTGGACATAGTGCCCCACAACAGAAACTTGGTGTACTTGATGTTCTCCCAGAACTGGAAGGAGCCCATTGGCCTGCGGACCGAAAATCTGCTTTTTGAAGGTCTGCTGCCTGGCCCTCTTGCTGAAAAGACGATTTCGGTCTTCCCTTTGTTTAAATTGGGAGTCATTCCGTGCTGTGCACAAAGGTCGAGCAAAAGACCTGTAGCAGCACCGGTGAGTGCAGTCAGATCATCCACTCGATCTGCACTGACGCAAACACAAAGATCATCACACCAGCAAGGACCCACAAAGCCAATGTTGCCCGTATCCACACCATGAAGGACATCAAAGAGCAAAGGTCCATCCTGAGAAGGTATCTTTTCAAGCATGCCAAGAACTTCCATCTGCGTCTGAAACTGATGCAACACCTTGGCCCAGAGAAAACCAAAGATGACGTCAGCAAAGGCGTCCCCTGGCCTGCTCCCCAAGGCAGTGACACATCGGTCCGACTGACCGTGGAGCCCAAAATGAGTACCTTGATGCAGTGCACTGAAAGCTCGTTGTGCATGTACTGGCAATGATGCCTCCTCAACTGCGCAAGAGCTTCCCAGGAGCTCATGGAGCTCATGAAGAGCATCCTGTCCAAGATTCAGGCGATCCGCCACATGTGCTAGAAGCTCATCCGGGCATTCGAGAGGCAGAGCAAGCTGTCTGATGACTCTATAAAACGCTTTGGTGAGATCTAAAAATATAAGGGCCGTGGATCGCCCACGTGCACAATGGATCCTTTGAAATGCACGGGCTTGATGGACTCCTAAGGTCACCGGTGTGCCTCTCCGGCCGCCAATTTGTTGGGCTTGCATGTACTTCTCATACACACTAGCATGCTTGATCCTCAACGTACGATGAATGCTCTTGCCCAAATGTGAACTGATGAGAATAGAACGGAAAGATTCACATGCTCCTTTATCTCCTTTCCCTTTCCAAAGAGGAAAAAGCCAGCCACCCTTGTGGAGCAAGGGTTCATGCCCCTGGAGGGCAGTCTTCAACAACAAGGAAAAGGACTGCTTGGCAACTGCGGCCGGGAAATAGTGAAATAATTCCGCTGGAAGTTGGTCAGGGCCTGTAGCCTTTCCAACGCGAGTTCGCCTCATAGCTTGTTCCAGTTCAGTCAGCGTTGGCACTTCTTGGATCGCAACATCCATTTGTTCAACTCCAATTTGCCCCAAAGTCTGGATCCATCGACTACGCTGTTCAATAGCGTCCATCCTCTTGCCGGCTTCCATCTGCATGAAAAAGCGAATCCAGCGCTCCCTTGCCTCACATGGGTCAGCACAAGGTAGCCCATTTTCATCGCGGACAAAAGGCAATGGCTGAATTCCTCTCTTCTTGGCATTGGAGCTACCAATAAATGGTTTCAACTCATGAAGGATGGTCGAGGCTGAGACATTATCAGGAAAGGAGTCAAAAACCTTGGTCAAGGCAACCCTCTTGGCAAAACGAAGTTCTTTGCGAAGCTGTCTGGCTGCAGAAATAAGTCCCGCTGCATGTTTGATTCCACCACATCGAAGTGTGGCACCAAATGAGAACTCTGCAGTGGAAGGTCCATCACTTGTTTGAAAATGCTCATTCTTCCAGGCTCTGAAACAAAGAGAGATGGTCTCTCGGCCAATCATCTTCTGCACAAATCGCAGTTGTCGGCGATGACATAGTTTTCGGCTACGCAGTGCCCAAATGTCATCAGAAAGAAAGGGCTTTTTGGGCCGCTTCTTCTGTGCCCGACAGCTTTGAAGTTGAGAAAGAAAATGCGCATTCAAATCATGTAGGTGGCTCTCAACGTCAGTGCTCCAAGGTGCTACCTTGTGATTCATCAAACTAATGGACTCCAAAGAACTGCGGATCCGATGCCTATCAAAGCTAACTCCATTGTTGAGGCGTGATGCACTGGAGGTCCAATGGTCCCATTGTAATTCGACCCCGACAGCAAGATGATCAATCTGTTGCTGTCCAAGATCGAAATCTTCAATCGTTTGGGACCACGTGCAGGATGAGAAGAATGCTCTGGGAATCGCAACGAAATCGATGCAGAACTCCTGGGATCCATCTGGGCAAATCCATGTGTGCTTCGGGCCAGCATGAAAGGATGCCGTGGATGGCAAACAAAGAGAGTGTTCATCAAGGAATTGCCGCAAGAGTGGTGTTCCACTGCTAGTGCGGAAGCCCTTCTCAAAAACCGTGACACCATCGGCTTCTCCTGGACCGGCATTCACATCAGCCATGAGGAAAATATGGTCCTCCCTGCCCAAACGCTGCAAGACTTCAGTAGTTTGTGCCCACCACTCACTTCTCTCTGCAAGACTGACCCCGCTTTGAGGCGCATGACACACCAAGAACAAAAAGGTCTCATCTTGAAAGGTAGTTCTGACAAGGAGACGTCTGGGATCTCTATGCAGCACTTGAAAATCTCCAGCTTGGAAAAAGAGGGGAGCACCCTTCACAAAGCAAACCGGTTGATTCAAATTGCACCATAATTCAACACCAAAGTGACCACCCGCACTGCCAGAGCACAATCGAAGTACATTTCCAACAATGGTGGTGCCCTCCTGTGACCTAGCTTCCCGGATACCCAAAATGTGCAAGTTGAAGGCAACAAATTGCGCTCGCAGGAAGTCAAGTTTGCCCTGGTATCCTCCCTCGCCAAAGCCTAAAGTAGTCACATTGGCAGAGGCCAAGCTAAGCTTCCATGCTGCCCTGTGCCAAGTGTGTGACACTAGACTGTTGCCACCAGCGTCAGCAATAGACTGCAGAGGAGGCAAACTTGGACGTGCAACGTCAAAACCATTGCCACAGAACTTGGGACCACCATGGTGTTCAGCAAATAGTAGCCAAAGGTGTGGAATCACGCTTTTCCATTTGCAGAGATCAACAGGTTGTCTTGGAAGAAAGAAACTTTTGGTGCCCTCGATCTTTGCCAGCGTGTCTGTGACTTCATTCAAAGCATCTCCATTGTGACCATGTACATGTTCAACTTGCAAATGCCCATGCGGAAGTGCCTCTTCAAGTGCTTGAAAAACGCCGCGGAAAAGCATGAAAGACAAGTCCAAATCCGCACATCCAGTAGTTCCTTGCGCTTGCTCGCAGCATAATTGCGAGTCACTACGGAAGAGGGTGGCAGTGTTTTCATTGCGGCAGAGGCGCCATAGGGCAGCAAAGAAAAGACCCTCTCTTTCTGCAATGAGAGAGCCTATTCGGGTAGCCCCTGCAAATGCAGGGTTGGACTCTTCATATCTCACTTGCTGAGCCTGCCACCCAAGGAGACAGAAAGCTTGGTCTGATGGCACATCATAAGTCTCTCCAATGGCGACAAATGCCCAGGAGTCTGGTATGCCATGTAAGTCCACCCAGAGAGGAGCACAATGCTTCTGCAAGGATTGAGAAGAACCATCAACATAGATGATGATGCGGTCATACTTCTGAGCTGGTTGCAGAGTGACCAAAAAGGGCTGCGCAACTTCCGGAATTTCAATACCTTCAAAAGAGGTGCATAATGTCCCTGAGGACTGGAAAAGCTCAACTAGGTCATGAAGCTCAACTCCAAGACGCAGAAGGCAAGTCGGATTCGTAAGCTGCTGCTGGGTGGGCGCAAAGATCTCAGTGATTGAGGTAACAGGCTGTCGTGCAGGAGGCCAAGCTTTCAAGGGTCTTGACCGCAGCTGCTTCTTGTGAAGGATGCCAACTGATTCTTGGAAGTCCACTACAGTAAGTCCAGGCAGACATACTCTTTCCTTCAAGATGACCGCTTTTTCATAGCCCAGCTGGTGGAGAAAACGCATGTGGCAAAGTTCCTGCATCAAGGATTCACTCGAGTGCAAGATCACCCCAGCAGAGTCAGTAACATCTTGATTCACATAGATGAAATGCACTCGATCTAAGCTGGGAACGCCATCTTGTGGGAAACAAACTGCCACATCATGAGGCTGACAAAGTACAACCTGACATTGATGCCCCCAATGGCGTAACTCTGCCTCAATGGAGCATTCATCAAGAGGGGCAAGTACCTCAACATAGTCAGGTAGCGGAGTGACTTCAGCATGCCCTCGTAGAAGTCGCACAGCACTGGTATGCAATTGCTCATCCGCAGAGATCGCATCTGAAGAAGCATCTTTTGAATGGGGAGGGATCAGTCGTGCAAGTTGCAACGTCACAACTTCATCACCGGCAGCCACAGGTGGAGGAAGCGGTGGCAATCGCCGGAGCTGAACAACAATTCCGTAGCCATTTCTACCTGGCAGGGGCTGGCCCCAACGCAAAGGGATGTCACCATACCAGGCCCAGCACTGATGCGTGGGTCTCATACCCAAGACTGCATCAAAGTAGCCAATGGATGTCAAAATGTGCTCCAAGTAGATGTTTTCCCAGATCGTGACAGCAATGCGTGCTCTCAGCGGTAAAGGCCGAACCTCTCCTTCAAAAACTGAGACCACTACAGAGACAATGTCAACACCAGGAGACTGCACAAGTAGAACACAAGCCATAACTTCATGCTCCATCGGCCGGGGCGTTGGTGAGACAATCAAAAATTCCAGAGTTTGCCCATCTCTGACTTTCTCACTCCAGGCCTGTTTGAGACGCTGTTGCCAATTGGCAAAATCCGAAAAGAGACGTACAAGTCGTCCAGGTGAACAAATTGGAATGACGTCAGTATGATCAACAAAGAAAGTATGGACCAAGCCAGACCGATCTTCGTTCTCCCACGCAAAGGCAGCATGATCCCAAAGTCCAAAAAGAGCTTGTACAAATTCTGGCTGGGTATCAATGGAAGGTCTGTCTGGAATAAACGGTGCAGCATCAGCATTCAGACAAAAACCTCCATGGTGGCTTCGTCCTCCTCTTTGGCCGCCAGAATGACGTCGCCCTTGAGTATTCTGTCTTGTGTCCCTCTGCATAAATGCCACTTCATCAGTCGCAGGGGCATGTGCAGGGGCAACTTTGACAATGATGTTGGCAGCGTTGTCAACCTCCTCAAAGTCAAACATGGCAAAGGGAAAGTCACGCCAGCGTACGGAGCAAGTACGCATGTCACATTCATCGGTTAATTCTACCAAACGAATGATGGAGCGTGAGTTCTGCATAGGAGTAGTAGAGAATGCCACATGTGAAACACCAAGTCCTCTACGATCATCAACCCAAACCGTGACAAGCAGCGATATATGCAAAGGTGAAATAGCCTGCTCGACAATGACATGGGCTTGATTGCATTCAAAAATGGTACATGGCGGACATGGATACACAACACTCAAAGTGACAGACTCTTCCGGTCGAATCAAATCTGCCCAGACTTCCAAAATCTCATCTGACCAGCTTTCAGCGGGCCCAGCAAGTCGGACGGGTCTGGCATCTCTACACTCTTGGAAGGTATCATGATGAAGATACCAAGTAGTGATGTATGCAATGCGGCCTTCCTCTTCACATTCAATCAGGTTCGCCTCTCCCACAATGGCGTTCAATCGAGATTCATGGCCAATTGCAAAAGCGCTCCTTCCATGAGAGGCTGTCGTGGTTCTTCCAGCTGAAGCTCGACGTGGTTGTTGGTCAAACCATCGCAATTCATGCAGCAAATTGTCAGCGCTAAGTTCATGAAGCGCTACAAGCTGTGTCTGAAAATCAGCCAAATGCATTTGCAACTTTTCTGCTGAGGCTTGGAAGAAGGAGACAGAGCTGCCTTGAGAATGGCACACTTGTGGCTGTGCTAAGCCAAAATCACGAGCTATCGCAATAGCTACTTCCGTGTCCAGACCTGGGTCATCAGGCGGAGGCATTTGAATCCGGATGTAGTCGCCATGAGCGATCCTATGAACTGTGCGATCATGCTCTTGCCAAAGGTTGTGATTTTTGAAAATCATACAGCGGCTAGCTTGTAGCTCGCAATAGTCATCCAATGCTATAAGGAGCAAGATCTGGCGACGATGAAGTTGATCATGCACTCGCATCACTCTCCGGCTTGTCGCAGCCGGGACATGAAGTCCAGTTGGCAAAGGATGAAAATGCAACTCCACATCCACAAGCACCAGCTTCTCCGACGATCCAGGGGAGATGTCATGAATTGATTGGAGGATAAGTGCTTCTTCAGCTTCGTCATGCACTCCAACAGGAGACACAGCAACAAAGTGGAAGCAGCGTATCTCACTTCTTGGCAAATGTTGGAGCCGAATGACATGGTCCAGAATCTCATTGTACGAGTTCCATGGCACAAATCCATGCAAATCAGGTTCTCCAAGGCGATAAACAAGTACACCCATGTCATTGGTGTGCACACCATCTGAACTGCTCCCGGGATCACTTCCATCCGGGTCATCAGCTTGTATGTCAAAATCGCAATCTTCCGCATGGTCACGATTGTCTTGAGAGGGATCAGCACAATCAGCTTGTTCTTCTGAACCCAAAGCCAGCGTATCAGGTGCCTGTGTGCCACTGCTGTCCCCAATATCCGCTGCATTGATCACAAGCTGAAATGAGTGTCCGTAATGCATCACATGCACAGGATTGCGATTGAAAGGGAGTTCTTGCCAACCGTGAGTGATTCGACATCTATGCCCTTGAAGACACCAATTGGTTGCATGAGCCATATCCGAGACTTCCATGCCACTGATCCTGCCAGGAAAGGATGCTGCCGTGGCATAAACAAAGGGCGCCGTCTGTCTCCCATGATAATGTAGGGTGACAAGTCCAGCTTTTCGATCCAACCACTCTCCCTGTGAAAGAATGAGGTCTGCGTGGAGAATTTGATGCTCATAGCCTCGGTATGGGTCTGGTGTCACAATCTGGTAACGGATCTCTTCATTCGGATGAATGAAATCTCTCCAGGTAGAAGTCAAATCTCGCTCCCATGTTCTCCAGTCTTCGTAAAGCTCAACTGTGCGTGACAACGTCATTCTGCGATGATGTTGGTGATGAATGTACCAAGTACGAACACGAAAAGGTGCATCATCATCAAGGTCGGTGAAGACCCCAGCTAAATCAGCCGCTGTGAGAAGATCTCGGATGAAAACAGGAGCATGAAAAGGATCTGGAATAACATCAGGGTCAGGAACAGGTACATCCCTGTGCATGTCAGCTGGCGTAGGTTCCAACCAGTTGTCCAGAAGATGACACTTGGAATACAAAGGTGCGCACCGGATCAACACGGCCTCTTCGGACAGCGGTTCCAGGTGGCACAATTCTTGGTCAAAATCGTGTGATCTAAGTGCCCAAGGCTTCTCTTGCCAAGTCGAGAGCTCATCATGGGAAATAGTCACAGCACCCATGGCAAGGTCATCATCAAGTCCAAGCAGAACAGTAACGCTCTCATCAAACGATGGACAACCCACATGCCTCTTCGTGAAGGAGCGCGCAAAAGAAGGATTGAAACTGTTCACTCGGAAAAGTGGAATACCAAGCTCAAAGGTGAGAATGTGTGCTCGGGACAATGCTTCCGAAATGGAGCAAAAATCCGATTCTTCCATAATACTATGCTGATACTCCCATCCAGGAAAATCACCATGACAATGCGGAGGCTTCTCACAGATGTACTCTGAGGTCACATACTGTGAGCCTAGCCAAAAGATGGCTTGGAGGCCCCATCTCCTCCATCGGGGACCTTGTCGCCAACTTGCTCCTCTGGGGTAGTGCTCATTCTGGGCCGCTTCTTGGACTGCTCTTCCGCATGGTCTCGATCTGCTTGATTTGCCAGCTCCTGCAGCGATGAGGTGAGTTGCTGAAGGCCCTCGTTGATCCGATGAGCACTTTCGTCTCTCATAGCCACATCCGGTTGTACCGTGGCCTCCTCTTCGTCGGGAACTGTGATGATGCCCCCCTGATCCTGCTTCTCTCTGAATGCCACCTGTGCTGCACGGAGTGTGTCCCGTGCTTGAGCAATGGTTGCTAGGTGGGCTTGTTCCTGATCTTGAAATCTTTTGGTATATTCGCTCCAACGCTGCACACTTGCATGAAGAAATTGCCTCCACGATGCAAGTGATTGGGACCTGTCTGACAAAGCTTCTTCCAATTGCCGCTGTGCCTTGCCCAATTCTGTGACAGCTTGGTGCATGTCCTTGATCTGATGTTTGCTCTCCTTGATATTGGTGTCCTTCACAACCGCCTGAATCTGAGGGGGGAGAGAATCTGCATTCTGTTTGAGCACCGCCAAGACCTGCTTGAGCTGTGTCTCCGCTTGCGAGGGTGCCAAAACCATCGGAGGATTCGCCACTGCAGGGGTCGATGAAGATGGTGGAATAGGCCAAGCCGTATCTCCCTGACCCACTGCCCATTCTGGAAGGGCAGGAGGAGGTGGAGGCGCCAAATAAGGGCCAGGCTGTTGCTGGTTCATCCCTTTTGAAGCATCTTTCCCTTTCAAACCTCCTTTGCGTCCTTGCCCTTTCGATCCCTTTCCTCTCGGCGTGCTGCCTCTCTGTTGAGCGGGAGCTTTGTTTTGGCGACGGCGTGGACTCTGAGAATAACTGTGCTTCCCATGCCACTGGGGATGATAGCTGTCCCCCGCAAAATGATCTCCCTGATGAGTCTCTGGATGGTTGCTGACAAAGGATGAATCCGCGCATTCCTGCCAGTGTCTCCCACATTCCGGACAAAATTGTGCGTTTCCTTTGACCAGTCTTCTGCAGATGAAACATCTCCATGGCTCCTTTTTGGAAGAGGCCATTGCTACTTCGATGCGGCGTATCAACTGCAAGTCTCGTGAATGATGTGAATTGAGCGTGGCCAAGAGCCGCTTCAACTGGTTGTGGTTCAGGTTGATGAAACCCTTCTGAAACAAGTGCCAATTGAGTCGCGCTTTGGCTCTGAGTCGACGTTGATTTCTGCGTTGGGAGTTGGTCGCCGTGGCCCTCCACAAGAAAGTTGTTGAAGCCCTCAACAGCAAAGTTCTTGGTGACCAGGTCGAAATCCAAAAAAGCAGAAAAACAAGTGACCGTCTCCTTGTCCCGGATCGAAATGAGGAGCAAGAAGAACCAAAATGCCCAAAACATAAACAGAAATGACCAAGGTGTCGGCCAAACTGTAAAAACCCAGGTGGTTTAACGAGCCTGGGAGCTCAGATCTGCCAGGTGGATACTGGAAAGTTCCAGCAGAGCACTTGCAAACGGAGGCCAGAGCACAAATTGTGTCAGTTCAGCCAGCGCAGCAAAAAAGGTCGCAAAAGATGGCGAAGCGACCCGCGGGTGAGGCAGAGGGACCCGCTAAGGATGAGGGAAACGTCAGGGGGCACTACAACCCTCCTGAGCCCAAACCTTATATATATAGTATATATATATAGTATACATAGTATATATAGTATACATAGTATATATATATATAGTATATATAGAGTATATATATATAGAATATATAGTATATATAGAGTATATATATAGAATATATAGTATATATAGTATACATAGTATATATAGTATACATAGTATATATAGTATATATAGTATATTTAGTATATAT